TTATGGATGTTTAGGCCTTTGCTAACAGATTATTGAGATTGGACAATTCTGAGCCTAGTAGGTTTCTTGCTTGTGTTGTTGGATAGTTGTTTTTGTTAGAGCAGATCAAGGCTCGCCGGTATAATAATCCTTATTTATTGGTGTTGAAAGACACGGTGTAGCAGGGTGGATCAAAGAAGGTTATGATTGTAGATGATGGTGCTATGCGGCTTCAGGATCAGATTTGTGTTCCAAATATTGAGGGTTTGAGAGAGTTGATTCTTGAGGAGGCTCATGGATCACGATATTTTATTCATCCAGGTGTCATAAAGATGTACTGTGACTTGAAGTAGCATTACTAGTATAAAGACGGATATTGTTGGGCGTGTTTCACGATATTTGAATTTCAAGTAGGTGAAGTATGAATATTAGAAACTAGGTGGTTGGACTCAGAGGTTGGTTATACCGGAGTGAAATGGGAGCGCATTACTATGCCACAAACTTTAAGGAAGTTTGATGTTGTTTGGGTCATTGTGGACAAATTGACCAAATCTGCATATTTTATTCTGGTGATGACTTCTTACACTTCTGAGAGGTTAGCTCAAATCCACATTAGAGAGATTTTTTGTTTGCATGGTGGGCCCATTTCTATCATTTCAATCTGTTTTTGTAGTTTACTTTGCACTTTTGGAGAGCTGTTCAGCGAGAGTTGGGCACGCAGGTGGAGCTCAGCACTGCATTCCACCCACAGACGATGGCCAGTCAGAGCGGACTATCTAGATCCTTGAGGACATGTTGAGGGCCTACGTTATTGATTATGGAGGCCAGTGGGACCAATTCCTACTATTGGCGGAGTTTTGCTACAACAACTACTATTCCAGCTACGGGCACTGTATGAGGATTTATACGGTTAGTAGTTTCGTTCTCCTATTGGTTGATTTGAGCCTTATGAGACTAGGATGTTGGGTACAGACTTGGTTCGTGATGCCTTAGATAAGGTGAAATTGTTTCAGGATTACCTTCGAACAACGAAGAGTAGGCAGAAGAGTTATACGGATATGAGGGTCTGTGATGTGGCTTTTATAGAGGGCGAGAATGTAATTTTGAAAGTTTCACCTATGAAGGGGATGATGAGATATGGGAAGAAGGGCAAGTTGATTCTCAAGGTTTATTGGTCCGTTTGAGGTGTTAGAGAGAGTTGAGGAGGTTGCTTATAGGTTTGCATTGCCTCCCAGCCTTACAGGGGTACATCCGGCATTTCACATTTCTATGCTTCGGAAGTATCATGAAGATAAGTCGCATGTATTGATGAGAATTTAACTTATGAAGTAGATTGACAAGTTCAAAAATTGATATCTAAGGATATTTCTTCTATGAAAGTGCTTTAGAAAGGGCTGCTGATTGAGGAGGCTACTTGCAAGTTTGAGTCCAATATGAGGAGTTGGTATCCGTATCTTTTTGCCATTCCAGGTACATTCCTATGTCTGTTCGAGACAGAACATCTCTTTTAGAGGTGGAGAATGTAACGATACGATAGGTTGTTTTACATTCTATCTTTTCATTTCGTGCTTTAAGACTATGAATAGCCTTATTTGATAATTTATGACTTGCGTACATGATCCGTTTTAATTTTCGGAAAGTTTAAATGTGATTTTTTTACAGAAAACTTGATTCTGAAACTTAAAAGTTATTATAGTTGACCACTATCAACAATCTTGGTATATGACTTTGGATTAGTATTTTGATGATTCCGATAGGTGCGTATGATAATTTTGGACTTGTACGCATATTTGATTAGTTCCCAAGGCCCTTTCCGCACTTCTTGTCGAAAGTTCGAAAAATGAGTTTATGAACTTTGAAATCTCTGAGTTTTGATGGTTGATTCTTGATACTCCCTCTGTTTCATATTAAATGAGGTACTTTCCTTTTTAGTCTGTTCCAAAATAAATGACACATTTCTAAATTTGGAAATAATTCAACTTTAAACTCTTTCATTTTACCCATTTACCCTTAATGAGAAGCTTTTATAGCCACACAAATGTCATGGCCCCACAAACTTTTTACCCCTTAAGCTTTTAAGACCACAAGTTCCTAAAGTCTTCTTTTTTTTTCTTAAACTCCGTGCCGAGTCAAACTACCTCATTTAATATGAAACGGAGGGAGTATTATTTTGATGTTTTGAGCTTACGAGTGAGTTTGTGTGAGATTTATATATTTGTGTGGATGTTTGGAATGGGACCAAAGGGACTTGGGTGAGTTTCGGATTGGTTTCGGGCTAATTTTGCTAAGTTTAGGATAGTTGGTGCTGCAGATATCACATTTGCGATGGTCTACTCGCAAATGCGAGTTTCACATTTGCGAATAGAGACACGCATTTGCGATGGGGGAATGGGAAGGCCAGTTTCGCAATTGCGAAGTTTGTGTCGCATTTGCGACCATCGCAATTGCAAGGAGGATATCACAATTTCAACCTCTGAGTCTCTGAGGCCGCTTCGCATTTGCGACCATAAGGTTCGCAATTGCAAGCTACGCAATTGCAAAAAAGTGTTCACAATTGCAATATCTGTAGCTAGGTAAAATAGGAGATTTTAGGATTAGCTCATTTTTTCCATTTTTGAAGCCTAGACTTCACCTATAGGAGATTTTAGAGAGCAATTTCTTCCTTACTTAAGGGTTAATAACTTTAACTTATTTTTGATTAATTCCAATTGCTTTCCATAGATTATCTGTTACGATCCAATTTCCACCATAGGATGTGATGGCACCCAACCCTGCTGTTAGGCAAGCCAATGATAAACTACCAACACAATCATTCGTTCATAACACTTTTAAAATAAAGAATCTCATTAATAAAGCGAAATTTAGTGTTGAAACAATGGTAAGATACTTTCATTCCTACTATGTCATGAAGTGTGAACGAAACATAAAGCATAATGAAATATATATCAAGTACAACCATAGACATCTACTAATAATCCCCAAAACCCGATGTTACAAGTGCATGCGCATCTAGTAGAATATTAAAAACCAATATAACTACCGTGTGGAATAAAATAGACAGAAATAAATAAACATAGTGCGAAGGAGACTTCGGGTGCTGTGGGTCGAAGCATGGAAAGAAACTCACCACTAAGTCTCACGCAAATGAGCTACGCACCCGACTGAGCACGTGAAGTACATATCTCAGTATCTGCACAGTTAGTGCATAAGTGTAGGATGGGTACGTAAATCAATGTGTATCCAGTAAATATCTAGTCTAACCTCGAAGAAGTAGTGACGAGGGATCGACCTCGACACTTACTAGTAGTCCAATAACAATGTACATAAAGTAGACAGGTATGAAATGCATCAAGTAGCAACACGACAGATAGTTATAAATAATATGGATCTCAAGTAAGAATAACTGCGAAATCATCAAATACCTTAACTACCACCAAGTAAACAAGGACAACTAATATTAAATACAATGTCAAATCTCTAGTTAGGATAACTCATATGTATGCTGACTCCCTATCGTATATCACGCACGAGTCTGCAGAGGCGAACGACCCGATCCCATAAGAATAGTATTACAAAATATCGCAGAGGCGAATGGACCGATTCCATAATGACATTTCACAACAATACCGTGGTGAACGACCCGATCCCATAATGATATCTCATAATACTGCCAAGGCGGATGTCCTGATCCCATAAGAATATTCAACAACATTGCCGAGGTGGCCTCATCCTATAAGAATATTGAAACTTTCTCACTCTCGAAGATATGTGCGAGTCGAGAAGACACGGGACAACCGATCCCATAAACATAACACGAGGATAGGAATGCAAGAGAAAAACATAATTATTACCGATCATCAAATATCCCACAAAATTCAAAGTAAAGAGGCTTGGTCGATACATAAATGCTAGTCTCAGTCAGTTATAAATTTCAAGTAATTAAACAACAAGTTTAATTCAAGTAGTATAGTTAAGGCATGGTGTAGGCCTAAATCTACTCGGACAAAGACATAATCTAACTACGCACGGACTTTCGTCACCTAAATCTACTCGGACAAAGACATAATCTAACTACGCACGGAGTTTTGTCACCTCGTACGTATGTAGCATCCATAACTCGTAGCACCCAATAATTAAAATACCTACGGGGATAATCCCTCCTACGAGATTAGAAAAGAGACTTACCTTTCTTCCAAGTCCACTACTCGGCTCTCACACCTATCTAATCACCTCAAATCGACGCCGAGAAACCCGAAACTAGTAAAAGGACGTACAAACCAATCAATATATGTTCAAAAACTCATAATTTAACTATTAGAGTCAATTCCCAACCCTACTCGGAAAGTCAACCCAGGGCTCACATGCCTGGATTCCGGAAATTTTCGAAGAAAAATGTTACTATGGCGTTACGAACTAAAATATATAATTTATACTCAATTCCTTAATCAATTTCTTGGTCAAATCCTATTTTTACCAAATTCTAATTTTTTCACCAAAATCCCAAAATTCTATTAATTCCCATGTTAAAATCCACACCTAATCCATGTATTTAAGTCACGATAGGTAGAAATCATTTACCTTTTGATGCTTGATGAACATCCCCCTCCAAAGAGCTCCCAAATCGCTCAAGACAAGAGAAAAATGAGGGAAATAATCCTAAGTCCCGTATTAAAATCACATACTGCCCAGGGTTTCTTCATCGCGATTGCGGAATAAGCCTCGTGATCGCGAAGGACAAACTGCCCCTACCTAGAAATTCCTCATCGCATTCGCAAAACCAAGGTCGCGTTCACGATGCACACAACCTAACCAACACTCCACGTTTGGGGTCAATCGAGCCGCATTCACGAAGGCTAATGCCTTCCAGCCCCTACAAATCCTCTTATGCGATCGCGAATTCCTTCACGCGATCGCGAAGGCCAACCGCCTTCCTGACCCAAACTAGTAACCCATCGAGTTCGCGACCTTAGACTCGCGAACGCGAATCACTGCCAAAGAACCCTCCGCAATCGCGATGACCTTTATACGATCACATTCAAAAATTGTCTCTGAGCCCCACACAGCTCTCTACGGTCACGATGCCATCTCTGCGATCGCGATTCACACCAGACACTAGCAAAATCTGCCAACTTCAACCTTGCTGTGGGTGGTCTGAAACTCACTCGAGCCACTCGGGACCCTGTCCAGGCATACCAACAAGTTCATAAACATACTACAGACCTAGTCGAAGTCTCGAGACACATAAAATAACATCAAAACCATGAATTGCGCCTTAAAACTAAATTAATCAACCTCTAAACTTCAAACTTCTTCAGACCTACTCCGAACGTGACGAATCATACTTAGACAACTCGGAATGACACCAAATTTCACACATAGGTCCAATATGACAATATGAACCTACTCTCAGGCTCGAAATGCCAAACATGATCTGATAATACCAAAGTCTACTTAAAGTCAAGCTTAGAAAACTCTAAAACCTTCAAAATGCCAACTTCCGACAATAAGCACCGAACGCTCTAGGTCCATCCGAAACTCAATCCGAACATACATCCAAGTCCAAAATCACCATACAAACCTATGGGAACCTCCAAATCCGGATTCCGAGGCTGCTTACTCAAAGTGTTGACACAAGTCAAACTTGGCCACCTTAGGACACTATTATGGAACTAACTGTTCCGAATTTAACCCAAACCCTTCCAAACCCAAACCAACCACCCCCACAAGTCATAAAACAGGAAAAGAACATACAGAAAGTCTTAAATCGGTGAACATGGATCTAGAAAGCAAAATGACTGGTCGGGTCGTTACATTCTCTACCTCTTAAACAAATATTCGTCCTTGAACATGTTTAGAATCAAACCTGAAGTGCCGAATAAGTGTGGATATATGCTCCGCAAGTCCTCCTCGGTCTCCCTAGTCACCTTATCGACCGACTGACCCCTCCACTGAACCATCACAGCTGAAATGTCTTTAGAGCTCAACTAGCCAACCTGCCTATCAATAATGGCATCTAGATTCTCCTCATAACCCAAGGTCTCATCCAGCTGAACTGTGCTGTAATCCAACATATGGGACCCGTTGACATGGTACCTCCATAGCATAAACACATGAAATACCGGATGAACTCCCGATAGACTAGGAGGCAAAGTAAGCCTGTATGGAACCTCATCAACTCGCTCCAAAACCTTGAATGGACCGATGAACCTCAGATTCAACTTGCCCCTCCTTCCGAACCTCATGATACCCTTCATCGGCGAAACTTTTAAAAGTACCTTCTCGCCCACCATAAATGACAGATCACGCGCTTTCTGATCCGCATAACGCTTCTTCCTGGAATGTGTTGTGCGAAGCCGCTCCTGAATCAACTATACCTTATCCAAGGCATACTTTACCAAAATCAGTACCATATAACCTAGCATTTCCATGCTCAAACAAATAGATGGAGGAACAACATCGTCGACCATACAAGGCCTCAAATAGAGCCATCTTGATGCTGAACAGATAACTATTATTATAAGCAAACTCGGCCAACGGTAAAAATCGATCCCACTGCCCTCTAAAGTTAATCAGACATGCTATAACCATATCCTTTAGAATCTAAACTGTCTGCTCTGACTGCCCGTCGGTCTACGAATGAAAGGCCGTGCTGAGCTTTACCCGGGTACCCGACTCACTCTGTACTGCTCTCCAAAAATGCGAAGTGAACTGAGTGCCTCAGTCTAAAATAATGGAAAGAGGCACCCAATACAACCAGACGATCTCCTGGATATAAATTTAGGCCAACCTCTTAGAAGTATTAGTAGTTATCACCAGAATAAAGTGTGCAGACTTGGTTAGTCTGTCAACAATTACCCATACGGCATCATATTTCCTCAATCATCCACGGCAAACCAACCATGAAATCCATTGTGATAAGCTCCCATTACTTTTTCGGTATAGCCATCTGATGAAGTAAGCCACCTGGCCTCTGGTGCTCATACTTAACGTGCCGATAATTCAAACATTTCGCCATATACTCGACTATGACCTTGTTCATCCGCCGCCACCAGTAATGCTGCCTCATCCATCAACATTAGGAACACATAAGCGACCCTGGAGTCGCAGAACACCATCATCCTAAATAGTTACCTCTTTGGCATCACCTCATAGTACCGTCTCTCTAAGAACCAGCAAGTGCGGGTATTAAATTGACGAGCCTTAATCCGCTCGAATAAAGAAGACTCAGCCATAACACATACAAGAACTCGAATGGGATCTAAAATATCCAGCCTCACAAGTCGATTAGCTAAGGAATGAATGTCCGAAGCCAAAGACCTCTCCTCTGCTGAAATAAATGCCAAACTATCCATACTCTCGACTATTCTGCTCAAGGAATCTGCGACCACATTCACCTTACCTGAATGATAAAAAAATGTAATATCATAGTAACTAAAGCCACCTACGCTGCCTCAAATTAAGATCCCTCTGCTTAAATAGATGTTGCAAACTACGGTGATCGATGTAAACCTCACACGACACTCCATAAAGATAATGCCTCCAGATTTTAAGAGCATGAACTATCATAGCCAATTCCAAATCATGCACACGGTAATTCTTCTCATGGGGCTTCAACTGATGTGAAGCATATGCAATAACTCGCCCCTCCTGCATCAATAGACAATCCAACATAACGCGTGAAATATCACAATACACAACATACATCCTTGAACCAAAGGGCAAAGCCAACACTGGTGTTGTAGTCAATGCGGTCTTGAGCTTCTGAAAGCTTGCCTCGCAATTGTCAGACCATCTGAACTGAGCACCCTCTAGGTCAATCTAGTCAAAGGAGCTGCAATGGACGAGAAGCCCTCCACAAACTGACGATAATAACCCGCTAGCCCCAAGAACCCAAGAAACTCCTAATTTCAGTCGCTATGGTGAGACGAAACCAACTCTGGACTGCCTCGATCTTCCTGGGGTCAACCTTAATACCCTAACTTGACATGACACGCCCCAAGAAAGCCACAAAATTTAAACAAAACACGCACTTAAAGAACTTAGCATATAACTTTTGTTCCCTCAAAGTCTAAAGCACTATCCTCAAATGCTGCTTGTGCTCCTCCATGCTACGCAAGTAGATCAATATTTCATCAATGAATATAACGACAAATGGGTCAAGATATGTCCTGAACACCCGATTCATCAAATCTATAAATGCTACTGGAGCACTAGTCAAGACGAAAGACATCACTAGAAACTCGTAGTGCCCATATCTAGTCCAGAAAGCCTTCTTTAAAATATCCAAAGCAAGAATCCTCAGTTGATGATACCTAGATTTTAAGTCGATTTTGAGAACATTCTACCTCCCTGAAACTGATCAAACAAATCATTAATGTGTGGAAACGGATACTTCTTCTTGATAGTGACCTTATTAAGCCGGCGATAATCAATGGACACCTGCATACTCTCATCCTTCTTCTTCACAAATAATACCGATGCATCCCGAAGTGACACACTCAGATTGATGAATCCCTTCTCGAGAAACTCCTGAAGCTTCTTCTTTAACTCTCTTAACTCCGCTGGAGCCATACAATAAGGGGAATGGAGATAGGGTGGGTGTCTGGTGCCAAATCAATGTCGAAATCAATGTGACCAAACTCCCCGCACTCGAAACAACCTCTCGGAGTGGAAAACTGCTAACTTTGGGTCTGACCCTGATAGCTCAAGTGCATACTGGAGGAACCCTGAATAGCTGGCGGATGGTAGGTTCTCTCTAATGGCACTGAAGTAAGGCCGCGCTGGAGCACCCTGAATAGGCTGTGGTGCTGAATTGCATGGGCCTACTAGGATGGCCTCTCATGAAATGACCTCTGTCCCCAAACAGGGCACCACTAAATCCACCAGAATGCCGAGGCTGCTTATCCCTCGACATAAACTCTCCGCTCTGGTTGCGGATACGCTTGATCCTTCGAGCTATCTCCACAACCTAGAAGTAGTACGACGTCCCCATCTCTGCCTCTCGGGCAATAGAAACCTGAATCTCATGGTGCAAGCCCATAATAAACCTACTCACTCTCTCTACATCTGTGGGGAGTATGATAGCTACATGATGAGACAAGTCAGTGAATCTCATCTCACAATCGGTCACAAACATCTAACCTTGCCAGAGGCGCTCGAACTGACCCCGTAACTTCTCTCTCTGTGAAGGAGGAATATACTTCTCCAAGAAGAGGTGTGTGAACCGATCCTAAGTTGAGGGAGGTGAACCTGCTGGCCTGCTCTGGAGATAAGACAACCATCATCTACGGGCCTTCCCCTCTAGCTGAATGTGGTGAAGTTCACCCCACTGGACTCCACTAGTCCCAAATTATGTAACCTCTCCCTGCAACAGTCAATGAAATCTTATAGGTCCTCTAACTACTCACCGCCAAAGATAAGAGGATGAAGCCTAGTAAATGTGGCCAGCAGCTTCTTCTCCTCAACGGTCGCTGCCAGTCTGTTGTCTTCTCTAGTCACTACAACCAGCTGAACCTCGCCCACAGGTAGTACACGTAGGGTCTGCTAAACAGCATCAGCATGACTTGATGCATGAGTAACCGGGGTCTGCGCTCCCCCTCCCACCTGAAATGTGGCCGGTTCTGCTGGGAATAGTTCGTCCTGAGTCATAGAATCCATATATCACATCATATGGCCCATAACCTCCTGAAAGCCCGGAGAAATCATAAAATCTACTAGGGCTGGTTCGGCTACAAGTACCTCATCCTGCTCGTCATAAAGCATAATGAAATATGTATCAAGTACAACCATAGACATCTACTAATAATCCCCAAAACTCGGTGTCACAAGTGCATGAGCATTTAGTAGAATATACAAAACTACTATAACTATTGTCTGGAATAAAATAAGATAAAAATAAATAAACACAATGGGAAGGAGACCCCGAGTGCTGCGGGTTGAAGCTTGAAAAGAAGCTCACCGCTAAGTCTTCAACAAATGCGGCTTCGAGCCCGAGTGACCACCTGAAGTACCTGTCAAAGTACCTGCACAATTAGTGCAGAAGTATAGTATGCGTACATAAATCAACACGTAACCAGTAAGTATCTAGTCTAACCTCGAAGAAGTATTGACGGGGGATCGACATCGACACTCACTAGTGGTCCAATAACAATGTACATACAGTAGACATGTATGAAACGCATCAAGTAACAACGCAACATATAGTTATAATTAATATGAATCTCAAGTAAGAATAATTGTGAAATCATAAAATACCTTATCTATCACCAAGTAAACCAGGACAACATACGATGTTAAATCTCAAGTCAGGAAAACTAAAATGTACACCGACTCCCGATCGTATATTATGCATGAGTCTGCCGAGACCCAATCCTATAAGAATAATATTACACAATACCGCCGAGGCGAACGATCGGATCCCATAATGGTATTTCATGACACTACAAAAGCGAGCGGCTGGTTCCCATAATAATATCTCATAATATTGCAGAGGCGAATGACCCGATCCTATAAGAATATTCAACAACACTGGCGAGGCGAGCGACCTGATCTTATAAGAATAGTGAAACTTTCTCACCCATGAAGATACGTGTGAGTCAAGAAGACGCGGGACTACCGATCATATAAATACAACACGAGGATAGGAATGCAAGGGAAAAAACATAATTATTACCGATCATCAAATATCCCACAAGATTCAAAATAGAGAGGCTCAGTCGATACATAAATTCAAGCCTCAAACTCAGTTATAAATTCAAGTAATCAAACAACAAGTTCAATTCAAGTAGTACAATTAAGGCATGATGTAAGTCTAAATCTACCCGGACATAGACATAGTCTAACTACGCTCGGACTTTCATCACCTCGTACGTACGTAGAACCCATAACATGTAGCACACAACAATAATAATACCTACGAGGATACTTCCTTCTTACAAGATTAGAAAAGAGACTTACCTCTCTTTCAAGTCCACTACTCGGCTTCCACACTTGTCTAATCACCTCAAATCGACGCCGAACAACCCGAAACTAGTCAAAGAACGTAGAAACCAATCAATATATGCTCAAAAGCTCATAATTTAACTATTAGAGTAAATTCCCAACCCCACTCGAAAAGTAAACAAAAGTCAACCCTGGGCCCACGTGCTCGCATGTCGGAAATTTCTGAAGATAAATATTACCCATGGCGTTACGAACTAAATAATATGCCTATACCCAATTCCATAACCAATTTCGTGGTCAGATCCTATTTGTATCAAATTCTAGGTTTTTCACCCAAATCCCAAAATTCTACTAATTTCCATGTTAAAAAAATCCTTTACCATATGATGCTTGATGAAAACCCCCCTCCAAAGATCTCCAAAATCGCCCAAGCCAAGAGCAATAAGGGAGATGAGCCTAAGTCTCGTATTAAAATCACATACTGCCCTGGGTTTCTTCATTGCGATCACGGAAGATGCCTCGCGATAGCGAACAAACTACCCCAGCCCAGAAATTCCTCATTGAATTTGCGATCCCCAGTCGCGTTCGCAATGCATATAGCCCAACCAACACTCCGTGTTCGTGGTCAAACCAACCGCATTCGCAAAGGCTAACGCCTACTGCCCCTGCAAATCCTCTTACGGGATCGAGACTTCTTTCACGCGATCGCGAAGACAAATCGCCTTCTTGGCCCAAACCAATAACCCATCACGTTTGCGACCTTAGACCCGTGAACGCGAAGCCCATCCAAGCCATATCCCGCGATCACGATGCCCTTTCTGCTATCGCATAGAACAATTCCTCCTCAGCTCCACACAGCTCTCCACCATCGCAATGCCATCTTCCCGATCGCGATTCAACCTTGCTCTAGGTGGTCCGAAACTCACCCAAGCTACCCAGAACCCTGTCCAAGTATAACAACAAGTCCATAAATATACTAAGGACCTACTCGAAGTCTTGGAACACATAAAATAACATCAAAACCAAGAATCACACCTCAAAATCAAATTAATCAACTTCTAAACTTCAAACTTCTTCCTAATAATTCCAAACATGACGAATCATACTTAGACAACTCAGAATTACACCAAATTTCAAACACAAGTCCAAACGGGATCCGATAACACCAAAGTCTAATTCATGTCAAACTTAGAAAACTCTAAAGCCTTCAAAATGCCAACTTCCTACAATTAGCGTTGAAACGCTCCTGGTCCACCCAAAACTCGGTCTGAACATACACCCAAAAACAAACTCATTGTACAAACCTATTAGAACATCCAAATCCCAATTTTGAGGTCGTTTACTCAAAGTGTTGACTCAAGTCAAACTTGGTCACCTTAGGCCACTATTATGGAACTAAGTGTTCCGAATTCAAACTAAACCCTTTCAAATCCAAATCAACTATCCCCGCAAGTTTTAAAATAGGAAAAGCACATACGGAAAGTTTTAAATAGGGGAACAGGGATCTAGAAAGCAAAATAACCGGTCAGGTCATTACATTATCATCCATAAATCTAGATTTTCATAGAGTAGAAATAGGGCTTTTGGGTAAAACCTTAGAATTTGATAATTTAGATATTTAGACATCAATTTGAGGGTGGATCTTGAAGAAAAATACATATTTGAACTCGGGGGTGAATGGATAATCAGGATTTGATCTTGATTTCGTATTTTGACCAAAATATGTTAAAAATCAAATATTTTGGTACTAAAATAGTTTATAAAGATTGTTGTGAATTATTTGAGTATTAATTAGCTAGATTGAGTGGTATGGAGGCTTGTGCGAAAGGAAAGGCAGCATCGGAGGGTTGATTTGTGCCGAAAAGAGGTAAGTGTCTTTGTTAACCTTGATTTGAGGGAATTGGGATGTAATTGGGTCTATTTTATATGTGCTATAAGTGTTGGGGGCGACGTATATGCAAGGGGACGAGTGTAAATGTGTTTACTATGGGCTATGCGTCAAGCATGTGGGTAGAACTATCTTTATTCATGTCTTGTTGCTTTATGTGTTATCTTCCATGCTCTAATTAGATTGTGAAACTCTTGATTGTTGTTATTCATGTTAATAGTTAAGTTGAGCTTGTTGTGACACTGGGTATTAAGACTATTGAAATGTTGACTTGGATATTGGTGCAAAAATGATGATTATTTTCCATATGGCGAGTTATATCCAATCAGTCCTCTTGATATCGTATGATCTTCCCGCCTTGATTGGTACAATTTTATATATGGTTATGCTTGGTGCAGAAGAGTGAATTGCACGAAGGATGTTTCCGTGCTTTTGAAGAAGAGTGATTATGCACAAAGAGTATTTTCGTGCTTCTTTATATCATTAATATTGCACGAACAATGTTTTCGTACTTATGAGGAAGAGTGAATATGCATGAAGGGTGATTTTATGCTTGTGAGGATGGGAGTAAAAGCACGGGTGATGATGCCGTGTATTTTGACTGATTTCTCTTATTTTTTGCTTTTACTATGCGAATTAAGGTTTGGCTATGTTGTTTCATGGTTGACTTTGTCAATTTCTTGGACTTGAGTTGTTGTGAAAGTCTTGTTTGGTGTTATTTGTGAAAGTAAAAAACCGTTAT